CTTTAGAAGCCTCTAGAAATTGTTAATGGATTTATCTAGCCCCACGCCAAGGAAGAATGAACTTTTTTTTTAAGATTTTATTTATTTATTAATGAAAGACAGAGAGAGAGAGAGAGAGGCAGAGACCCAGGCAGGGGGAGATGCAGGCTCCACACTGGGAGCCCGACGTGGGACTCGATCCCGGGTCTCCAGGATCAGGCCCTGGGCCGAAGGCAGGTGCTCAACCGCTGAGCCCCCCGGGGACCCCCGGTAGAATGAACTTGGTACAGTGGCTGACAGGGCGCTGTGTCACTCCACGGATGTTGGTTACGCGGATTCTGCTAACGGTGTCACCGTGGCCGGGACACCTAACGGCCCTTGGCCGCCCTGTCCAAGCGTGAGGTGAGGCTTTGCACGAATGGCCTCCGGGATGTCTTGTGGCTTAAGCTCGCCCTCCTGCACCACCCCGGCGTGGGTGGACCCACAGGGACCCACGGCTCCACGGCATCAGCGGGAAGGTGTCGGGCCTCTGGGTACTTAAGCTTCTGCTTTACTTGCCGGCACCCAGCGGCCCGGCCCACCGCGCCCACCCTGGCTCCAGGCTTGGCGCGTCTTGTTCGGGCCTTGGCTCCCAGCCCGCGGGCCCTCGAGGCGAGCGGCGGCCCCTCGGGGTCACCGGGGCTCCCTTCGACCCGCCTCGCCCGAAGCAGGCGGCAATCCTGGCCGGGCTCGAGGGCCACGGGCGAGCTTCGTCTCCTGGGCCGCTCGCAAGCGTCCCTCTCCCCGCACGCCCCGCCGGCAGCTGCGGTGCCCGGAGCCTCGGGCTCTGGCTGAGCTGCAACGCTCCAAGGCCACGCGGCCCGCGGCGTTTCGTCTGTTTGCCCCCAAACCTCACAGGTCTTTGTTCGCCCCTTTTAAGTCACTTGTTCGCTCCCGAACCGTGCGAGGGCCGAGCTGGGGCTACGCCCCCAGTAAGCCTCGGCGGCCTCTCCCGGCCCCAGAGGGAACACGAGCTTCACAGGACAAGCCGGCCTCGCTCCCTGCAGCCGCCGCGTCTCCCACTGCTTCGTCGTCCGTGTCACTCGTGAGGACACGTGGCAACGGTCCGAATGGATCCAAATCACAGCCTCAGAAAACATCTAGTCCGGCCTCGCCGCGGGCCCCCAGGGCGGCAACCCAGGCCGTGGGTAACCCGGCTCCGTCTGCGGTGTCCCCGATGCCCTGGCACTGGGGCCCCACCTGCGGCGAGCTGCCTTCACCCCACCAGCCCGGAGCCCCAGCTCCCCGATGCGGCGCTCCCCTGGCCCGGTCACCCTAGGGCATGGCCCCGGCCACCCCAGCTCCCTGATGTGGAGCTCCCCTGGCCCGGTCACCCTAGGGTGCGCCCCGGCCACCCCAGCTCCCCGATGCGGCGCTCCCCTGGCCCGGTCACCCTAGGGCATGGCCCTGGCCACCCCAGCTCCCTGATGCAGAGCTCCCCTGGCCCGGTCACCCTAGGGAATGGCTCCGGCCACCCCAGCTCCCCGATGTGGGGTTCCCCTGGCTCAGTCACCCTAGGGTGCGCCCCGGCCACCCCAGCTCCCCGATGCGGCGCTCCCCTGGCCCGGTCACCCTAGGGCGCACCCCGGCCACCCCAGCTCCCTGATGTGGCGCTCCCCTGGCCCGGTCACCCTAGGGCGCACCCCGGCCACCCCAGCTCCCTGATGTGGCGCTCCCCTGGCCCGGTCACCCTAGGGCGCACCCCGGCCACCCCAGCTCCCTGATGTGGCGCTCCCCTGGCCCGGTCACCCTAGGGCGCACCCCGGCCACCCCAGCTCCCCGATGTGGCGCTTCCCTGGCCTGGTCACCCTAGGGCGCACCCTGGCCACCCCAGCTCCCCGATGCGGCGCTCCCCTGGCCCGGTCACCCTAGGGCATGGCCCCGGCCACCCCAGCTCCCCGATGCGGCGCTCCCCTGGCCCGGTCACCCCAGGGCGCGGCCCGCCGACCAAGGCCTCTCAGCCGCGGGGCCTGCGGACACTGCTCGACACCTCCCCCCGCCGCCCCCCGTGCGCTCACCGCAGTGAAGACCGAGGCCGCGCTCGCCTGGGCCCTGGGCTCTGCAGCAAGTGCACATGGTTCCCAAAGCAGTTGCCCTGAACCCCTGCCACCAACACCCTCTAGAACTGCTGTTCTCTGAAACGCGCGTAGGGAGACTCCGCTGACTGCACACAGGGCCGCAGGAAAGCTTAAACTCCTCGTCGCCTCGAAATACCAAATGGCCAATTTTAACGGCCGGTAAAATCGATGCAGATTCCTCTGAATGTTGACGTATTGGATCCACAGTTCGTTCCGAGGCTTATCGATCCGACCTGAATCAGCGGTCGCTTTTAAATAATCGGCGCGTGACCAACGGCTAACGACGGAAGCGGCCGAGGCGTCCATCGGTAGATGAATGGATAAAGATGTGGGGCACGTACGTTATATAGACAATGGAATATTCTCCAGCCATAAAAAAAAAAAAAAAAGGAATGAAATCTTGCCATTTGCAGCCACACAGATGACTCACCCACGAACCTGCAGGATTCACGTGATGCCGTCCTGACCTAACCCGATGCCTCCCTGTGTGTCCCCGGGCGGCCCGGGCGCCCTTTCCTCTTGGGAACTGTGACAAAGCATCTTTTCCAACGGCATTTGTCCCCGGTCTGTTGGCCCGCCATCTCTCAGTTTTAAAAAACCCCCATCTCTAAAACAGATGTCACAACGATTCCAGGGACCAGAAGCCCATTTCTTTGCAAGGCGGCGACTTCAGTGGTGACCTGATAGGACAGCTCCCGCCCAGCTCAAACTGCAGCCGGCTTCCCGAACCTTCCAAACACCTCTGCCTCCAGGGCAACAGAGAATAATCTACTCCCCTTTTTATTTTTCAAGTGAATGATCGAGGATCTGAAACACACCTATGACGGTCTTTCCCGAAATACATTTGTGAGAATCACACACATGAATCTACAGAATTTTTTGGCTTTATTTCTAGTCTCCCTTAAAAAAAAAAAAATCATCCATTCATTTGAGAGAGCGAGGCACGTGAGCAGGGGAAGGGGCAGAGGGAGCCGGGCTCGGGGCTTGATCCCAGGACCCAGAGATGGTGGCCTGCGCCGAAGGCAGATGTTTAACCACTTACCCAACCGAGCCGCCCTCTAGCTTCCTTCTTACAATGATCAGCATTTCACCAGTCGCTGTGGTTTCAACAGCCCAGTGAATTGAGTATTTTCTGACATTCCCATCGTCATTCACTCATCCGCGGGGTCAGCGGACCCTCGGCAGCCTGGTAGCCCCCACTGGTTTGTCGCTGTCCTTTAAAAATGTGCAGCGTTTGCCAGAACTGGTCTATCCACATGTGGCTTCACGGGCACTGTTACTTTCCTGGGTCCGGGGGTCCGGGGGTCAGGGTTACGCTGGCGCCTGGCACGGCATCAACTAGTAATTTACCAGGTAACTTTATCAATAGAAGACATAATGCCCAGTAATCTTATTTCCAGGATATTATAGAGATATATATGTATATATATATTGCTTTTTCCTAGACTTTTTCCGTTTGATGGTTCATATTAAACCCAGAAATGTTTAATGACTTAAGTATTTATGAAACACAGCACAGGGATGATACAGTCGTTGGAGGACTACATTGTAATGGTTCCTATGTGACTACGTAGTACACAATTTAGCCAATACTGGGAGATGGGAGAGTCTCCCCTTTAAGTTTCTATAGAACTCTTGGATGGTACGTGATTTCATTTATGTTAGCTCATCATATTTAACATTATCCTCTTTGTACCCACTGTTTCAATAATTTCGTCCCAGTTACTTTAAAAGAGCAAGTTGAAAGGGAATCTCCTATCTTATTCAGTACATGCAAGAACAATAGTTAATTGATTCTACTATTATGTTTCCACTCATTCCCACAAACGGCCCAATTAGCTCCCAACAGTATCTCCCTGCCAGGTTGCACAATTAATGCAAATTAATTTAAGTGGTAGTTGATTATATTCCATTCATGAGCACTATGTTTGGTTTTATCTGTGTACAGGGAAATTATCTGGAGTTTTGATGACAGATTTCTTCTCAATCATATCTAGATCTTTTGCATTATCTAGAAGTCATTGATTTAAGGTATTTTATCAAGACTTGTCCAAGATTTCACTTGCATTTCTAGCTAACACTTTTGCTGTCCACAACTAGACTTCTTTAGAAAATAAACATAAAGATCTGAGCAACAACGTTATGCATATGTCTGTTTTTGTTAATGATTTAGAAAAGCCCTAAGTCAAATTATGTTTTATACCATTCCAAAGTTAATGTATAATAGTCCGTAATCCAAAGTGAAAATATGTTCAAATTATCTTAATGAGGGACCCCTGGGGGGCTCAGCAGTTTAGCATCTGCCTTCGGCTCAGGGTGTGACCCTGGGTTCCCGGGATTGAGTCCCGCGTCGGGCTCCCTGCATGGAGCCTGCTTCTCCCTCTGCCTGTGTCTCTGCCTCTCTCTCATGAATAAATAAATAAAATCTTTAAAAAAATTATCTTAACGAATGAGCCTAAGGCAACTAAAAGCCAAATCTACTTTTTCTGGCTTTTAATATGTAAAAGATTCTCATTGTTTCACATATCTAACATTATAAGTCATTTGCGATATTTAAATCATTGATATGAGTAATAATTTTCAGTGTAACTATGATAAATTGCACTAGTATGAACATATTTTTACAATATACAGAATCAAGACATTGGACATTGTCTCTCAGCCAGGAACAAATGCTGTGTTTTATGTCCCATGTAGGCCTGTATCTGGCTATCATTAAATATTTAAGCTATGGGTTTATACTAATGTTCTTCATGATGGCTTCATGAAAGGCTTTATTTTTAAATTTCTCCTAGCTCAATGTAATTTCTTTTATTTAATCTCTACACCCAACGTGGGGCTCAAACTCCAGACCCTCAGATCAAGATCGCATACTCTTCTGACCAGCCAGGTGCCCCATCAGTGTAATTTTTTAAGGTTTTATTTCTTAGAATAGTTTAGATTTACAGGAAAACTGAGTAGTACAGAATTTCCATATATGCCCTCTCCCGGTTTCTCCATTAACATCGTACACAGGATACATTTGTTACAATTAATAAATGAATATTGATACTTTATTATTAAAATCCATAGTTTATTCATATATCCTTAGTTTTTACCTAGTATCTTTTTTCTGTTCCTGGATCCCACATTACGTTTACTTGTTGTGTCCCGTTGGGCTCAGTTCCTTGGGTACGACAGTTTCTCTGACTTTCTCTCTTTTTTTGATGACCTTGATAGTTTGGAGGAGTACTGTTCAAGTATTTTGTAGGTTGCTCCTGTACTGGAATTTGATGTCTTCTTTAAGATTAGACTGAGGTCATAGTTTTAGGAAGATAATTTTCCTAATAGGACTTAAATACCTACAGATTAAAAACACATCTAGACTTCATCAAACCATTGCCTTGGACGTAATTCATATATCATTTTTAGTATTGTCCCTATTCCATATGACTAGAGACAGAAAAATAGGATTGAGTAAAGAAAATGATGATTTTAAAAAGCTAGCTTAAAAAAAAGAAAGGGTAACTAAGAGGTAGATAACATTATAAAGACAGCAAACAGTAGTCATTTTAATTTGCTTTCCAAAGTAAGCATGTTCTTTACAAATTAAGATTACTAGGACAGAAAGTCAGACAAAAACGCATAAATAATAGTTATTTCAATTACGTATCTTCAGAGGTAAATCTGGGTTTTACGTCAATAAACTTACTCAAGTATACTTATGTTTTCAAAGCATATTGTTGCATTTTTATCTACCAAATAAAAAACACTGCAGGATTCTCTTGCCTATAGGTCAAAAATAGTCTTAGAATTTTAGAAAACTTATAGTAGTCAACCATTCTCTCCCCAACAGTGGTTCTCAAACTTTAGCATGTATTAGAATCACCTGAAAGACTTGTTCAACCACAGACTCCAGGGTGCTAATCCCCACGGTCTCTGATTCAGTGGGTCTGGGGTGGGGCCTGAGAATATGCGTTTCTAACAAGTTCCCAAGTGTTGCTGAGGCTGCTGGTCTGACAACACTATGAAACCCACTGTTTTAAGGGTCAACAAGGAAGCTACACTTATTAAGTGCCTATGGTGATTCAAGTGTTTTACATATATTACCTTATTTAGTTATAGAATCTTATCGAGCAGGTATGAGTATCCCTTTTATAAATGAGGAAGCTGAGCTCAGGGAAGCTAAGGAACTCAGCTGAGAAGGTAATGGGATTAGGTGGCAAAATTACAATTCAGATCTCTGATTCTAAGGCCCGTGGTTTTCTAGTACAACATACTGCTCTCTGTTGACAAAGGAGTGAAACGTCCACATCCTTGGCATACTCGCTAGAAGTGGAGACTGTACCAGCGTGCGTACAATGAATTAGTTCAGGTTAGTAGGGTACTGAAGGAATCTCTACTGAGGACTCGACAAAAACTCAGGGTCACGGAGAGCATTTCACTTATCTCTGAACTTCTGAAATAATCAGGATGAAACGAACTTAACATATAATTACAAAACAGGAAGAACATGTATTTAATATAGTACTAAGTATTACTTAATTACTATCATTTTATTATTTCTTACAGAAAAACACACATTTAAATAAAAGTTCTTAAAAGAATAATCTCATTTACATTTAAGTTTAAAGCATCATTACTATTCTAAATGTCTGCCAGTGTATACATCGCCCATCAACCACGACTTACTCTGGTACTGAAATAACAGCATGATGGTCTTCAACAAAACGCTCTGACAGTTACTGAAACATTTACCTCCTTTCACAAAGCAAATTTAAAGCAATGACATACAAAGTAGACAATTTAAAGTTTAAGTGGTACGATTTACAGTAAACAAGCCACCAAAAAAGAAGTTGCCAATAATGTATATTCTCTCACTTTGTTACACTCTATATAAAAGACAACACAGACACAAAATCTTAGACGGCAGACTTAAAATAGTTGATGAGGTCTAAATTTCAGAATGAGAAAAACCCACCCAACTCTATATCTCTATTATAAAAACAAATTATTTTATGTAAGAAAGATCCCTTTTAAATATGTATATACATATTTCCACTTAATACTGTTAATCAAACCCATAGTTATATTTAAATAAGAATTAAATAAACTGCCCCAAATGCTGATTTTATCTCACAAAACAAAAATATTTTAAATCACAACTTCCAGATGGTATCTTGAATACATTGGTTTCTTAAACAACATTAACAAGCATATTTTTAAGAATATATTTTCATCTACAGGTCAGGTAAAGCTTTATTAAATGGTAAACACTTTTAAAAGTGCAGAAATACAAGTTTCAAAAACAAATACATTCAGAAGATCTGCTGTTCAAATAATATTTTTTCAAAACCAGGTGGAGGAGTATGATAAAATTCACTGAACTGGCAATCCAAAATTGCACTGTCATCAACTAAAGACAGAAAAAGAAAGAAAGAGAGAAATTAGAAGCTAACAGCTTAAATCGAAAGAATGCATAATTATAAACTGTTTTCATAATACCATAATATTAACAGGCAAAAAGAATAGATACATCTGCTCCCCAGGTTACAAAACATAATTCTATTAGATAGAAATAACCACAATGAAAAATAAAATTAAAACACTAAAAAGGAGATCCATTAAAGTATTACTGATAATTAGTGTGAATATGAGTACTTTTAATTTTTCCTTATTTGCCTCTGTATTTTCTGTTTTATAGATCAAGATGTATTACTTTTTAAAAAATCTTTTATTTTGATAAAATTATAGATTCAAAAAAGGTTGCAAAAATAATAGAGTTCCCTGTGCCCTTCATCCAGCTTCTCCTAGTGGTAGCGTCTTACATAACCACAGTACTGCCATCGATACCACACCGTAGGTCGTGTTTAGCTTTAGTTTTTACCAGCATTTTTTTTTTTAAACAGAGGTTCTTTTTTTTTTTTTAATTTATTTATAATAGCCATCACAGAGAGAGAGAGAGAGAGAGAGAGAGAGAGAGAGAGAGGCAGAGACACAGGCAGAGGGAGAAGCAGGCTCCATGCACCGGGAGCCCGATGTGGGATTCGATCCCGGGTCTCCAGGATCGCGCCCTGAGCCAAAGGCAGGTGCCAAACCGCTGTGCCACCCAGGGATCCCTTTACCAGCATTTATTAAAGAGAAATGAATACATAAAACCAAACAAAGACTTGTACATGAATGTTCACAGCAGCTTTCTTGGTAATGGCCACGAACAGGCAAAGGGAAAAACAAATTACGATATAAGCACACGATGAACTATATGTGCTACTCGGCAATAAAAATGAACGAATTATTGATACATGCTACAACATGGATCAATCTTAAAATAATTATGCCGAGAGAAGCCATGTATAAAAAGAATACAAACTTTATGATTCAGATAGTCTGTAGTGAAAGCAGATCAGTGGAAGCCTGGGGCGGTGGTGGAGAGAGGGGAGCAGGAAGGATTACATGAGAACAGGAGGGAACTTTTTGGGGTGATGAATATGTTGACTCTGGTAATGACGTGAGTGTTTACTTCAGAGCTACATGTTAAACTGCACAAATGTTTAATGCACATGACTAAATATAATTTTACATTGCATAAGAAATGCAGAGAAAAGTACTGGACTTGACATTCATCAAGCCGCTAGAGATGTTATGAAGGGTACTTTGGGTGAAGTGGTGGGTTGAAGAACAACTGAACGACACACCAAGTGGAGTAGCCACTGCTAATACAGCCACATAGAGAAGTCGAACAAAGGGCTAGTGAATTTAGGAAGGGTTTGAGGGATAAGGATGACTCATAGAATGTTTACAGGCACTGGAGAGACAGGTTCCTGACTTGAGGTATGAGTGAAATAACCGACAAAGGGGAACGAATCCTAGAGATCTAGACTATAGTGTTTCTAACATGAAGGAAACCACCTCATCTAAGATGGGACAGAAAGAAGGCGAGGCTGGGTCTGATCCAGAAAAGCTTCAGGAGGGCAGGGGTGGGAAGGGAGAGTTCACCACGGACAGCCTGTTTCTTTATAAAGTAGAAGGTAAGGTCATCTGTGGAGACTGAGGAGGGAATTCAAGAAGCATCGTGAAGGTCTAGAAGGTGCAGAAATGTAAAAGAACTGCCACAAATGTTGAGAGCTTAGGCTGGAAGGCATGACTTTGTAAGGACACTTTTCTTTCAGTGTGATAAGGCCTTTTCTCTCCATAGTATAAGAACTGACAAAATGAATGGATGGATCTAGGATTAGGCATGGGATAGAGGACAAAGGATAATGAAATTTAAGTTTTATTTTTATTTATTTTTAAAGTAATCTTTACACCCAATATAGGGCTTGAACTCACCACCCTGAGATCAAGAGTCAGATGCTCTACTGATTAAGCTGGCCAGGCGCTCCTTGAGTTTTATTTTTCTCTCTGATATTATCAGATTATTAAAATATTTGGGTTAATTTAACTGATATATCAATGCCAATTTATAAAATATGCTTTACTATATGTAATTTACTATCCATAGCTTTACTACATTAAAAATTATGCTCAATCAAAGAAACGATATGGAATAAAATTGTATTTGCTACATTCATTTGTGTACTTTTAAATTTCATTTTCCAGACTATATTATTTAGAATACTAAGCTACATTTCCATTTAAGTAGATAAAGGAATTGCTTTTAGGTTTATCCAATATGGTAAAGAAACTAACTAAAATCAAACTTAAAAATACACTTTTATATGCAAAGACTGTAAAATCACTGAAAAGTACTTTTGGGGAGAAAAGACTAATGAAAACTAAAAAGTAAAGCATACGCTTTGGTTGTTATTATGTTATTAAATATTTATATTTGTTATTTGTATACTTTTTTGACATCCAGCCTGCCATTCTAATGCTGTTACCTTTCTAGTAAATTACTATAAAAATTAATCAGTTTCTTTTTTTTTTTTTTTTTAATTAATCAGTTTCTATTTATGGCTCAAATCTAAGAACTTTAAAAATTTTTTATTATTTATTTATTTAAACATTTTATTTCTTTATTCATGAGAATCACAGAAAGAGGCAGAGACACAGGCAGAGGGAGAAGCAGGCTCCCTGCGGGGAGTCCGATGTGGGACTCGATCCCAGGACCTGGGGTTATGCCCTGAGCTGGAGGCAGATACTCAACCACTGAGCCACCCAGGCGTCCCTCAAATCTAAGAACTTAAAGTGATTAAATGAGAAAATATTTTTATATCTATTAAGGTCATAGGCAGAAAAATCATACACCTGTTGATTTAAAGTTGGTAACATAAAAAATAAAGCAGAATAAAGGAATAAAGGCACTGTGCTTATGTCTGGTTTTTTAAATAAAGAAAGATACCTGATTTTTTAGAGATACATATGAAATATTCTTATGAATAAAATGATAAAATGTCTGCCATTTGCTTCAAAATAATCTAAGGTGGAAAGATGAAAGACAGAAGGAGTATTAGCATTAGGGGGTAGATGAAACCTGACTGGCTCCAGGCTGATAACTATTTGAAGTTGGGTGATGGGTACATGAGGGTTCAGCATACTATTCTCTTTACTTCTATAAACATTTGAATTTTTCTATAATAAAAATTAAAGCAAATAAATGGTACAGAATCCTCTCTTAAGTTACCCAATTCTTGGGCAGGACTCACTTGAACAAAACTATAGTAGAGACATACAGATAACCATCAAAAGCGAAACAACTAATATGAAACTATTCTAAGTCACAATTTCTCTCAGAAGATTTTTAACACTTAGGTAATTTTACAAAGGTAACTAATGCTCAATCTACATAAAATTCCCATCCTTAGTTCCACAATATTTTTTACAACTATATTTCCTGGTCATCTAAATCTCCCTAATACTGGCAGAAAGAGCTTTGTAAAATCAAAGCTTTTTGGAACTTTCTAGAATATAAGACTATATATGATTTAAAAAAGGGAGTATGGCTATTGCATATTTAAAGTATGATCATTGTATTTGGGAAAAAAAATTTTTTTTATACATGAGAAGAAAAACTTCCTTAGTTCTGCAAAGTGGGATTCTGATACCCTACTGAGTACATTTCATATAAAAAAAGATCCTTATTAACTTGTCCAGATTTTTGAATGATAGTTATAAAGTTAGTGAAAATGTCAAGTAAAAGTTAACATACAGTAATATTTAGAAATATTTTAGCTTACCATAAACAACTGGATACACTGTCCCTCGTATACCTGATGCTGGACAATGCATATTTTTTCCATTCAAATATACATTTAGTTCTACATGGTCATATGTAATACCCTAGGAAGGAAATAAAATATTACAAAGTAAAAATATAAATGTTCCACATAAAAAGTGTAAATAGTCAGAAAGCACTCACTGAAAATCATGGAAAAAGTTAGTAATTAGTGTCACAACAGCTTTCATTAAGGGTTTACAAATTGGTAGAGTTCTACTTGAACTGAGACCAAAAAAAAAAAAAAAAAAAAAATCAGTGGTGATTATGTGGTGGGAAGTCAGGTAAAGTTCCAAGAGGTAAAACAAACGAGAACAGTTTGATGTCTGATATTATATTGAGATAATCTTTTTTTTATATTTAGATAATCTTAATTTTATATTCTGAATATTAAGATGATAGAAGTACTGCTGACCAAGTACAGAGAGATCTTTTTTTTAAAGATTTATTAAAAAAAAAAATAAAGATTTATTTATTTATTTGAGAGAGAGAGAGTGGAGCAGAGTCCCCGTTGAGCACAGAGCCCAAGGCTGGGCTGGATTTCACAACCGTGAGACCATGACCTGAGCCGAAACCAGAGCTGGCCACTTACCTGACTGTACCCCCTGCCCCGGCACCTTCAGAGAGAGACCCTTAAAACTCATACACAAAAACAGAATTTTATCTTAATTCTGTAGATTGGGGGAAAAACAATGAATTTTTCTGCATTAGGGCTTACTACTTGTCACTGTTCTCAAACTGTGAAAAAGTATCTTCATATAACTTATTCTTTTTCTTCTTAAAATTGTATTTATTTATTCATGAGAGACACACAGAGAGAGGAAAAGACATAGAAGGAGAAGCAGGCTCCCTGTGGGGAGTCCGATGCAGACTCGATCCCAGGACCCCGGGATTACACCTTGAGCCCAAGGCAGGTGCTCCACTGCTGAGCCACCCAGGCGTCCCGATACAACTTATTTCTGAAAAGAAATATATTTTCATATCTCCCTACCTTGCTTTCAAGCAGCTCAAATGCATTACCAAGGTAAAGTGTTTATATAATGGAATACATCAAGTTGAAAACAGAAAAATAACTCAAAAGAGTAGGGGAAAAAAAAGGTGGAATAAAAATAGATCACTCTCTACATCTGTATGTTACTGATGGTGAAAAAGACTAATAATAAACGGCTATCACTAATAAAATGCTGAAAAACACTTTTAACGCCTGTATTATGAACCAAGCACCATTCTAAGTATTTCATATTTAATCATTTAGTCCTCACAAAATGGGTATTATTATTACTATTATCCCCATTTTACAGATGAAGTAGCTAAAGCACAGAAAGGTGTAGTAACTTACGTACGACCACAGAGCTGGGAAGTGGCAGGCCTGGGATTTACACCCACGCAGCACACTTACTCTGGTGGCGCGCCATCCTGCCTCTCTTTAAAGCCTGATGCCATCGCTCCTAAGAGCTGGCAGGAGGAGAGCTTCGAAGAATGCAGAACAGCAGAGATCTTTCAACTGCACAATCATCATAGACCAAAAAGACCACTCCAGGGATTTCTGACTGTGGATATACTATATCAAGTTAAAAACTTTATAGAGCTAGAAAAAGATCGTACAGATGATCTAGCCTTGCCTCCCGCACTTTCTAGTTAAAACAACCAAGTTCCAGGCGAGTCCACGTACTAAGCGCTATTAAAGGTTCTCCTGGGGCAGCTGGGTGTTCAGTCAGGCCTCTTGGCTTCTGCTCAGGGCCTGATCTCTCGGGTCCTGGGGTCTACCTCTGCGCTCAGCAGCGAGTCCGCTTGAAGATTTTCTCCCTCTGCCCTGCCCCCCCCCACTCATGCATGCTCTCTAAAATAAATAAATCTTAAAAAAAAAAACCCTCAAATCTTAGCCAGGGTTAAATAAAAATTTGTTAGTAGTCAAAAAATATCAAGACAGATTGTTTCTGTTTCATTTAGTTTATTATTTAAATATAATAATAAAGCTAACTGGCGGCTGGGATTCCTTTTTGTAATGAAAACAAAATTACATAGAAACAATGTGTTCCTTCTTTATAGGAACATGGGGTACCTCGCAGTTTGGAGCAGCCGCGTAATCAGCGGCGTAATCCAGGCGGCCTCCACCACCTGGTGGCAGCATAACCTACTGCAAGCAAGCAAGCAAGCTTTAGTTGCCCAAACCTGCAGCTGAGGGCAAAATCCTAAGACCAAAGAAACAAGTGGGAAAGGATAGGAGTACTAAGTACTATGAGCAGAGTTCAGCCCAAGTATTTCTAACTTAGTCCTTTATATGATTTAGAAACCAGGTTTCACTCCACCATAATGATACCAAATAATCTAATGTGTTCAAGGCATTTATCAATAATTGCATATTCAGCGAACAGGCTCTGTCATTACGACGCCTGTATGTTAACCAGGGATCCCTCCGCAGAAGAGGTCACTTCTCCTAATCTGTAAAATGATGGTAATAATACTAGAGAGTGTATAGAATCATTATGAGGATTGAACAATTTAATCCTTGCCAGGCATTTAAAACAGTGCCTGCCCATAATAAATGCTAGAGAAGTGTCTGCCATTATCATTACAAAGAATGTTTATAAAACTTCTCTAGATTGAACCAAAAAGTACAATTTTAGAATGATCTCCACTTTCCAAGACTATATATAAAAGGAAAAAAGTATTGATCCTCATTAAACCTAATCTCATTACATTTCTTCACCTACGCTCCCAAGCCAGGTATGCCGTCCTCGTGCTGTAGCAGGCCCTGTGGGCACTGTAGGACTATCGCATGAATATAATCATTTGGTCGGATGTTGAAAGCTTATTTTTCTTGATTTGTCCTCAGAGAATGGTATATGACTGAAATGTTACACATATGGGAATGTTTTCCCTGTCTTAAATCCATCCTATTTTTCCTATGCCACTGTCAGCAATTTGGTGAAATTTGTTCTCAAATGTCCGAACTAGGCAGATGAAGGTAATATGGTAAGGTAATGTTTTACTTTTCTTGATTCTGCATATATTTCACCTTTTTTAAAGTCCTCCTTTTATCAGAATGGGTATGAAAACTCAAAGTCTAATTTAATAAAGCTGACAGACTAAAAATGACATTCTTAAATCTGTCAATTTGTGGTATCAGTTATCTCAACAAATGAGATAGGAAGGCAAGAATAACACACGGTAGAAGTTCAACACACCAACAAAGACAAACATTTGTTACTGATTATCCTTGCTTATGTTTGAATTTCATCTTAGTATAAACAGGTTGATAGCATCGACCTGACTTCAAGATTCTCTTTCAAGAAATATCCATTTGAGTAAGGGTGTTCCGTATTACGGACATCTGGCAATGATCTACAAATACAAAACCAACTATTCAAGAAGAACAGAGAAAAGCAGATTTTAAAAATGGTTTATGTCTTTTGTCTCCTAAAACAATTTCCTTTTTTTTCTCCTAAAACTCTTACAATAATTTACCTATTTAAAAAAAACTAGGAGCACCTGGGTGGCTCAGTCAGTTAAGTGTCCAAGTCTTGATTTTGGCTCAGGTCATAATCTCAGGGCTGTGACATCGGGCCTGAGTCAGGCTCTATGCTAGGCATGGAGTCTGCTTAAGATTCTCTCTCTCTCCCTCTCTAAAAAAAAAAAACCAAAACAAAACATGCAAACTAAACGTTCTTTGTATTTTTTTAATTGCAGAAAAGAAATGAAAGATCAGGGGCACCTGGGTGGCTCAGCTGGTTAGCTGTCCAACTCTTGATTTTTGGCTCAGGTCATGATCTCAGGATCATGGGATTGAGCCCCACACTGGGTTCTGTGCTCAGCAGGAGTCTGCTTGAGAGTCTCTCTTTCCCCTTCCCTCTGCCCCTTTCCCCCACTCTTTCTGTAAAGTGAAATAAACCTTTAAGAAAAATGAAAGATCAGACCACAGTTAAAAATTAATTTCTGCATGTGTCTTCCTTCTCACCAAAATGCTGTACATTTCCTCAATTCAAAAACCTGGATTTACCCTGTGTTGTCTTATCATTAGAAGCTTTCCTTCATTACGTAGATTTCTTTCAAGTTGGTACCAGAGCCAGGAACGCAAGGTTCTATGTATAAGGGCACCTTTGCTGAAGGAGAGCCTAGGATTCTCTTCTCAATCAAGAGCTGATAGCCCGCACCCAGTGTGTAAGGTTCTTGGATAATGCCTTGTAAGAAGTAACAGGGAAAGCAGAAAGGGATCTCTGGATTTCATTTTCAACAGGGTGGCTTTGGTAAAGACTTAAATATATCTAGTTGGAAATAAAAATAGAGAAGTCTTAATTATATGTAACTCTATCCCATGCTTTCCAAAAAAAAAAAAAAAAAAACCCAAAAAACAACACCTTTTCCCCGATCAAGCCTTAGGATTGAGTCCTATTATTTGAAGAGTTTTTTTTTTTTTTTAAGATTTTATTTATTTATTCATGAGACACAGAGAGAGTCAGAGACACAGGCAGAGGGAGAAGCAGGCTCCATGAAGGGAGGCCAATGTGGGACTTGATCCCAGAACCCTGGGATCACGACCTGAGCCAAAGGCAGATGCTCCACCACTGAGCCACCCACGGGTCCCTCTTTGAAAAGTTCTCAAAGTGAAGAAATTTAATAAGATTAGGTTTAATGAGGATTAATACTAGTAAAATGCTGAAATTCTTTAAGAGAAGTTCATAAATTAAATAAAGGCATACTTTTTTTTTTTAATACTTTGTTTTATTGTGCTTCACAGATAGTGTGTTTTTTTTCAAATTGAAGGTAACCATGTGTTAATAACCAAGTCTATTGGTGCTGTTTTTCTAACAGCGTTTGCTCACTTCAAGTCTCTGGGTCACATTTTGGTAGTTCTTGCAATATTTCAAACTTTTGCACTATTATATTTGTTAAGGTGATCTGTGTTCAGCGATCTTTGATGCTACTATTACAACTGTTTTGGGGTGCCACAAACCAGGCCCATATGAGACCGTAAACTTGATGGATGTATGTGTGGGTTTTAACTGCTTCAGTGACCGGCTGTTCCCATCTCCCCCCTCTCCTCCGGCTTCCTTATTCCCTTAGACACAATATTGAAGTTGGGCCAGTCAATAACCCTACAATGACCTGTAAGTGTTCTAGCGAAAAGAAGTCACGTGCATCTCACTTTACATCAAAATTCAGAAATACCAAGCTCAGTGAGGAAAGCCTGTAGGAAGCCAAGACAGGCCAAAAGCCAGGCCTCTTGTACCAAACAAAGTAGCTAAGCTGTGACTACAAAGGAAAAGTTCTTGAAGAAAATTAAAAGTGCTACTTCAGTGAACACACAAATAGTAAGAAGGCGGAACAGCCTGACTGCTGGTGTGGAGAAATTTCGGTGGTCTGCTTAGATCGCCTCAGCCACAATATTCCCTCAACCCACAGCCTGAACCAGTGCAAGGCCCTAACTCTCTTCAATTCCGTGAAGGCTGAGAGAGGAGGCTGCAGAAGAAAAGGTGGAAGCGAGAAGAAGTCGGTTCATGGAGTTTAAGGCAAGAGGCCATTTCGATGACACAAAAGCGCAAGGTAAAGCAGCCCGTGCTGAGCAGAAGCTGCGGCAAGTCATCCCGGGGACCTCGCCAAGGGAAGGTGGCTGCGCCGACACCAGATCGCCGGGGCAGATGGAATGGCCTTACACGGGAAGAAGATGCCATCTAGGATCTTCAGAGCTACACAGGAGGGGTCCAGGCCTGGCTTCAAAGGGCAGGCTGATCCTCCTACTGGGGGCTATGCAGCTGGTGACTTTAAGTTGCAGCCAACACTCCCTGTCCATTCCAAAAATCCCAGGGCCCTGAAGACCGACGTGTTTCTACGCCGTGTGCTCTATAAACGGAACAACAAAGCCTGGAGAACACCACATGGTTTACTGAATACTTTAAGCCCACCGCTGAGACCCACTGGTCTGAAAAAATGAAATCCTTACTCTCGGACAATGCATCTGTTCACCCAAAAACTGTGATGGAAATATGAGATTAATGCTGTTTTCATGCATGCTAACACGGCATCCATTCTGTGGCCCATGGATCAAGGAGTAATTTCAACTTTCAGGTCTTATTACTTAAGAAATACAGTTTGTAAGGCTACAACTGCCATAGATGATGATTCTTGTGGAAGATCTCAGAAAAGTAACCTAAAACCTTCTGAAAAAGATTCACCATTTTAGATGCCCTTAAGATCATTCGAGATTGCAGGAGTTTGCTTCTCCCTCTACCCTCACCCTATTTGTGTTCGCTCTTTCTCTCTTTCACTCTCTTTCAAATAAATAAATAAATAAATAAATAAATAAATAAATAAATAAATAAATAAATAAGAACATTCGTGATTCAGGGCACCTGGGTGGCTCAGCTGGTTAAGCATGTGACCCTTAGTCTCCACTCAGGTCTTGATCTCAGGGTCATGAATCCAAGCCCTGTGTTGGGCTCCATAAGGGCATGGAGCCTGCTTTAAAAAAAAAAAAAGAAGAAGAAGTAGAAAAATATTCATGATTCGTGGGAATAAGTCAAAGTATCAACATTAATAGGAGTTTAGAAGAAGTTGATTCCAACTGTTACGAATGACCTCGAGGGTTTCTAGACTTAGAGGAATAACTGCAGAGGTGGTAGGGATAGCAAGAGAACTCAAATTAGAAGCGGAACCTGAAGATGTGACTGAGTTGCTGCAACCTCATGATAAAATTTCAGCAGATGAAGAGTTGTTTATTACTGATGTGCAAAGAAAGTGGTTTCTTGAGATAACATCTACTCCTGGTGAAGATGCTGTGAAGACTGTTGAAATGACAACAAAGGATTCAGGATATTATACAGGGCCGCGGGGGGGGGGGGCTCAGGGGTGGAGCACCTGCCTCCAGCTCAGGCCGTGACCTCAGGGACCCGGGATTGAGTCCTGCATCGGGTTCCCCGCAGGGAGCCTGCTTCTCCCTCTGCCTGTGTCTCTGCCTCTCTCTGTGTCGCTCATGAATAAATAAATAAAATCTTTCCAAAAAAAATATCATACAAACTTAGCTGATGAGGCAGCAGCAGGGTCTGAGAGAAGGATTCTAATTTTGAAAGAAGACCTACTTTGGATAAGATGCTCTCAAACAGCATTGCATGCTACAGAGAAATTGTTAATGAAAAGAAGAGTCAATCTTCGCAGCAAAATGCATTGTCATCTGCTTTTAAGCCACTGTCCCATCACCCCAACCTTCAGCAACCGCCCCTGATCAGTCAGGAGCCATCAACACTGAGGCAAGACCCTCCACCAGCAAAAAGATTATGACTCATTAAAAACTCACATGATGATTACCATTTCTTTAGCAATAAGGTATTTCTTTTTTTTTTTTTTTTTTTTTTAATTCTTATTTATTTATGATAGGCACACAGTGAGAGAGAGAGAGGCAGAGACACAGGCAGAGGGAGAAGCAGGCTCCATGCACCGGGAGCCCGACGTGGGATTCGATCCCGGGTCCCCAGGATCGCGCCCTGGGCCAAAGGCAGGCGCTAAACCACTGCACCACCCAGGGATCCCGCAATAAGGTATTTCTTAACTAAGGTACGTATACTTGTTTAGACGTAACGCTATTGCACACTTAAGAGACCGCAGTAAAGTGCAAACATAACTTTTACATTCACTGGGAAACCAAAGCCTCACTTGACTTGCTTTACTACGGTATTTGCTTTACTGCAAGCGGTCTGGAACCAAACCCACAGCATGTCCGAGGTATGCCTGCAATAAACGTCACAATTTTCTCTAAGAGATCTCGAGCGGGGAAAATATCTAGAATTTTCTAATATGAACATCAGCAAACTTTTAACATTGTGGACCAAGAACTTCTCTGATGTGAGAGAAGCAGGAAAAACGCTGATCAGCAGCAGCCAACCTGTCCTTAATTCTCCTGAATGGAAATAAGGGCTCATGCTCTTCTTCCCAGCCGGCGGCAGCGTCAGGAAGCAGGGCAGTCAGGTGAGGCAGCAGCAACTACCCCAGCGGCTGTCTCTGGAGTATGTGCCACCTCCTGAGACCCAGTCCCAGCACTTCGGAATTCAAAGCACAAACTGCCAGGCTAAAAGCAGTTCAAGTGTAATAAGTTACAGTGGGAAACAATCCCACAAGAAAACTTACCACCACATCTCCCTCCTGCGGAAGACTGTTTGCTGGCAGCCTATTTTTCTCCTCGTTGTTGTGGTACAGGGCTCCATCATTCCTCATCACCAGGCTGTGCACATCTCGGCCAAGAGGAATCTGATTCAAGTTAACTTTCTGAGTTGCGACGCCAACACCCCATATTCCTAAAAAATAACAGTTTAAATGCCCCCAAAATCGAAGGACCACAAATATGAAAGAAGGAATTGTTTTTAAGAAGAGTATAAGTTGTTTTTAAAAGAAGCGGCATACTATCACTGAACTATTTTTTATGTTCTAAAAAACAAATATTTTAAAAGTAGGCTGCAGGGGACCGCTGGGTGGCTCCACGGTTTAGCACCTGCCTTCGGCCTGGGGTGTGACCCTGGAGACCCGGGATCGAGTCCAGCGTCGGGGTCCCTGCATGGAGCCTGCTTCTCCCTCTGCCTGTGTCTCTGCCTCTCTCGCTCTCTCTCTGGCTCTCATGAATAAATAAATAAAATCTTAAAAAATATATATATTTAGGAAAAAATAAATAAATAAAAGTAGGCTGCAAAGTACCCTATGTTCTCTACGGATGGAGCACAACCTAGGAGGTAAGAATGGGTCCTGAACCCGTACTGCCTGGGTGAAACCTCGGCTTAGCTACGTCATCTGGGACAAGGTCTTTAACCTCCCTCTGCTTCCTCACCTGCGAACTTGGGCTTCTAACAGTACTTACTTCAGTTATCAAGAGATACAGGAAGGTAACCAAGTAAATAGTTGGATCAGTGTAAGTATCCCCCCCCCAAAATCGGTTAAGTAGAGCACAGAGTATTTTTTATAAGAGGTTAGCTATTATTGTCATCACTATTCTTTAAAAGACATTTTGAAAAAGCTACACAACAAATTTAAATGGCCCAGGGTTCTAGCCAAGCGCTACTTGGAGAGGTGGGAAATCTGTCTTTAGCTTTTCCGTCCATGGTGTGTGACAGAGAATATAGGACCTGGTCAAGATCACAAAGAGGAGAAAATTAATGATAGAGAGAAAAATGATTTTCTTACCCGTACCTTAAGTCAGTGAGTTTAAAGCCTTTTGGTCTAAGCTGATTTTAAAGCAAGCAGCTAACCAGTGAAACTGAATTACCTAGAGCTCTGGATTTTTGTCTCAAACTGTTTCCTTCTCAGTTTTTATCAAAATCAGTTAGGAGAAAATCTATAAATGGAAGAAAGTCTGAAGACCATGTTGCCAATTTTTCTGAAGTGAGCAGCACTATCAAAAAGCTGCATGTCTGGATATTACCGTCCAGGCTTCCTAGATAATCCGACTATGTAATTTACCTTCCAGAGCGGGACAATTTTTTTCTTTAATTTTTTTTAATTTTTTTTTAATTTTTTTTATTTATGATAGTCACAGAGAGAGAGAGAGAAAGAGAGGCAGAGACATAGGCAGAGGGAGAAGCAGGCTCCATGCACCGGGAGCCCGACGTGGGACTCGATCCCGGGTCCCCAGGATCGCGCCCTGGGCCAAAGGCAGGCGCTAAACCGCTGCGCCACCCAGGGATCCCTGGAGCGGGACAATTTTAAGAGTGACAGAGGTGGTAATAGTAGCTTCGTGGACAACAGTTCTAGACGGGGTTAGAGTCTCCTTACCCCTAGAGAACTGTGCATGCTGTGATGCCCTTGGGCACAACTGTCTCAGGCTTGCATTGAGAGATCAATTTACAAACCCCAACAGTGTATGTATCCTAGAGATGTCACTGAGGATGTCATCCTTTACAGAAAACCCACATGAAAATTTGCACCAAATTTAAGGTTCAAGAATATACTGGCTTCTCTTGAGAAAGGTAGATTGTACTTGAGAAGATTTTAGCAACCAGAGACATTTTGCAGTTTAGCTTATAAAAGAATGGAGGACAGTTTCCTTTTATTTCATATACTTAAGAACATCGGTATTTTACATTAATTAAGAAAACAAGCCCCAGAAGGACGTTTTATATCATTCAAGCTTGTCGAGTAAGAGTAAGGTTGATTAACTTACTCCCCGCTAGTTTTCCTATTCTATACCTATACTTATATTTTTCAAGCTATATTTCACTAGAAGCTTCTTTTTCTTACAGCAAAGCTTTAAACAATATATTTCCTCATATTCAGTACAGCTCCAAGTTAACTCATTGCTACTCTAAAATACTCAAGCAGGACTGTCATATGATTCAAGACGCTCTGTAAATTTTTTAATGAGAAGTATAGATATTAGAATTCTAAATCTGCTGATTGCTTCAGAAGGCAACAGATCTTGGTATTTTAACAAGTGTCAAAAAAATTCAGGATCGTAAGACTGATTCTATCCCAAGATAACACAGCAGGAATCTACGCCTTATACGCCTGATCAAATGAAATGGAGCATCTAGTACCCACCCATTCAATAAGGCCAGCGCCTTACACAGACCCAGTGCAAAACACATCTGTAAGTATGATTAATGCAAAGCCGGAATGGCAGTTCCTGTAATCCCATTTTATAGATATGCAAACTGAACCTAAAATAACTAAAGTAACTACTTTAACCAGGATCACACAAGAGGTGGGGGAAGAAAAAAAAGGGCTTTCCAAACAAGCTTTGTGATTTTTTTTTTTTTTTTTTTTTACCGTCTCACTGACCTTTCTCATGTGCCCCGAAACTGCTCTTACTATTTGCAGTTAGGGCTCCCAGTGGTAAAGGACCATTATACCCACCTGTGGACTGGATTTTGAATTCAAAGTAGCTTTTGTTTTGATGTAAAGGGGCGCTGGCTAAACAGCCTCCTGTCCCACATATCCTTCTCCCGTTTTTCACAATGACAACATCCGTTCCTGAATAAAAAAAGAAAAAAAAAATGCAGAGACTGTGTCAAGTTTTCTTTTTTCAATTTTCTTATCCAACCATCAGGGTTCATTTGTTTCACTTTTAACGCTCAGCCATAAACAGAGCCGCGCTATATTCAGTCCGAGAGATACAAACGCTGCTGATACATTCGGAACAATTTTTAGTTCACTGCCCCCGCCGCCCCACCCGAATGTTTGTATTTAATATTCATTTGCGGCCCGAGATCCTGCTTAGGCCTCCCGGGAGGAGCCCCGCGGGAGGAGCCCTGGGCCGGGGAGGCGCGGCGGGCGCCGAGAGCCGCGGGGATGGGGCGGCAGGTGCAGGGCCCCGCGGGGGGGGGGGGCAGGACCCTCCACGGCCTCCGCGGCCTCCGCGCACAACACGGCCCGGGCCGAGCGGGCGGAGCGGGCGCAGACGGGGAGCCCCGCCAGACGGGGGCCGCGCGCGGGTGCAGGGGGGCAGCTGGGGGGACCCGGGGAGCCCCGCGAGGCCATGCCCCGGTGCAGGGGGGCAGCTGGGCGGGGGGGGGGTCCCCGGAGGGCGAGAGAGACTCGGGGGGCGGGGAGCCCCGCCAGGCCGCGCGCGGGTGCAGGGGGGCAGCTGGGGGGGTCCCGGGGGCCGGGGGATCTGGGGAGCCAAGGGGCGGGGGAGGAGGCGGGGGCGGGTCGTGGGGGGGTCGGGGGCCGGGGTCGGGGGGGGCGGCGCCCCGCGGGGCCGTGTCGCGTGGTCCCGCCGCGCGCCGGGGCGTGGGCCGTTGGGCCGGGGCGGGGGCCTCACCCATGTGCTGCGTGTCCAGCTGCACGGCCGGCATCTCCTTGAGGGGGATGTGCCCCGCGCCGCCGTCCCGGCAGCACCGCAGGCAGCAGAACACGGACGCGGCCATGGCGCCGAGACCCCCGCCCGCCGCCTCCGACCGCCGCGACCCCGCCCCGCCTCCCGCCCCGCCTCCCGCCCCCGCCGAGCGCCGGCGGCCCCGGGAGCGGCGCGCACCCGGACACAGCGACGCCCCCCGCCGGGAGGCCGCACTGCAGGCCGCGGCCAGGCCGGGGCGGAAGGGGCGGGGCCTGCGCGGGGGGCGGGGATGTGGGCGGGGCTGTAGGCTGGGAGCGGGGCTGAGAGCGGGGATGTGGGCGGGTCTGTAGGCTGGGAGCTGTGGGCGGGGCTGAGAGCGGGGATGTGGGCGGGGCTGTAGGCTGGGAGCGGGGCTGGGGGCGGGGCTGTGAGCTGTGGGCGGAGCTGGGAGCTGGGGCGGAGCTGGAGCTGTGGGCAGGGCTCAGAGCGGGGATGTGGGCGGGGCTGCAGGCTGGGAGCGGGGCTGGGAGCTGGGGCGGGGCTGTGGGCGGGGCTGTGGGCGGGCCGCAGGCAAAGGGCGCGGCGGGCGGGCCTCCGAGCGCGGGGTCGCGGTGGCCTCTGCGGGATGCGCATCACTTTTTTTCATTTTTTTAAACATTTATTTATTTATTTATTCATGAGAGACACAGAGAGAGAGGCAGAGACACAGGCAGGGGGAGAAGCAGGCTCCATGCAGGGAGCCCGACGCGGGACTCGATCCCGGGACGCCGGGGTCACGCCCTGGGCCGAAGGCAGGTGCTAACCCGCTGAGCCCCCCGGGGATCCCCGCGCATCAGAGACGCGGAGCAGCGCGCAGCGCGTCGGTGCCCTCCGGGTACATCCGCGGTCCTTGGATGCTGACTTTTAAAGACTGTTCCCTCCAGGGGCGCCCGGGGGGCTCCGCGGTGGAGCGTCTGCCTTCAGCCTGGGGCGTGACCCCGGGGTCCCAGGATCGAGTCCCGCATCGGGCTCCCCGCAGGGAGCCTGCTTCTCCCTCTGCCTGGGTCTCTGCCTCTGCCCCTCTCTCTGTGCGTCTCATGAATAAATACATAACATCTTTAAAAAAAAAAGCGTACCCTCCAACTTTGACATTACCTTTCGGGGTGAATTGACAGGAGCAGGTGAGGCGGGGCAGTGGGAGCTGACAGGGGAGCCCGGGTTCTCCACCCCCAGCCGCAGGTGCGGGCCTCCCAGAACTCTGCCTCCGCCCGGAGCCTCCGCCCCCTTCCCCGGCTGGTTTCCGAGGACTCGCTGCAAATCCTCCGTAGACGCACAGGCCCCAGGGGGACGCAGCCGGGGACCTCCCCGGGCGTACTCCGGGGCTCCAGGGGGGCCCGGTGCATCGTAGGGGCTGCCCCGTGGGCGGGGCGCAGGAGGCCACCCGGGAGGGCACCGCCTGGGCGGGCGGCGGAGGGCGATGCTCCACCTCCGGGGCCGGGGCGGGGGTGGGGGGGGGTCTCGAAGGGCGTGAAGGCAACTCCGGAGGCCTCGAGGAGGACGTCTGGCCCCGCAAGGGAAGCCCCGGGTTCCACCGCCTGCTCCTTTGCGCTGCCGGGTAGGAGGCCCACAGGATGGCCACCTGTCACCTGTCATCTCCCTGCCTACTTAGGCCTCTGTCCTCGGTCCATTTTGCTTAAATACAGCTTGGCGCCCGGGGATGGTCTTCGATGACCTCTAGAATTAACGGGGCTCAAACCTTTATTCCCAAATAAGGTTTCCATCCTGAAGGCTTCGCCCAGGTTCACGGCCTGGGAAACGGATGCCCATTTAACACCTAATGGGGTTCTCTGCATAACTTTTTAGTGACCTGAGTGCAAATATCCTCAGTGGAGGATTTTTTTTTTTTTTCCTCCAAAGAATGACAACCTTTTTAAGGTCCTGGGTCTCTTGACCGTCTAGACACAGGGTGTTTGCATTACATTAGGGAAAACCTCCAAGTTCTGTACTCGGAGGTTAGTTAGCATAGAATTAATGACTAAGGCTGAGGGAAGGCTCTCTCGCTCTAAAGTACTTTCTTGGTGATCATTTTAGACATGACATTTTTCTTTTACTGAAAACCTCAACCTTTATTCTGAGAGTTTATTTATTTATAAGATTTTATTTATTTATTCATGGGAGAGAGAGAGAGAGGCAGAGACACAGGCAGGGGGAGAAGCAGGCTCCACGCAGGGAGCCCGACGTGGGACTCGATCCCCAGTTTCCAGGATCACACCCTGGGCTGCAGGCCACGCTACAGCGCTGAGCTACCCGGGCTGCCCTATTCTGAGGGTGTAATTAGTCTTCGGTTCTCTTTCCACCGGGAGGGAAGGGGAAACTGAATGTTGGAGAGACAAACTTTTCCGTCATTCCGTGCGGTACGCACTCTTTGACTTATGTATCTGACTGAATTCTTGAAAATTTTAGGGCGGATATTGTCCTCATTTTATAGATGAAGAGATAGAGATAGAGGGATTACGTAACTGGTGACCAGGAAATAAACCAGGTGGGACTCCTAAGCCTGTATTTGCTCCACCAGATGCTGCTGCCTCTCTACTTCTGCAGATCTAAGTCTTGTAATAAATACTGAAATTCCTTTAAAAGTGCTCTCAATTAAAAATGCAGATTTGCACTTTATTTTTTGTATGTCTCATTAATCTCCATGTTGGACACAAGCTTCCAGGACGCATGTGCAGAGAATAACATAAAATAGCAGTGGTTAAAAAGGTAAAGGATTTATTCAGAAATGTTACTAAGAGTAGTGCTCGTATTTAGTATATAACAAACACCCGGGCCATTGGAATTATTCGTATATTCGGTGAAAAGCCAGACTGTGAGGTGGCGTGAGTTGGCCAGAACTGCAGACGCAGAACTGCCATAGTCCTTCCTGCTAGAAGAGTAATCTGTTGGGCCTCTGCCCAGTGCACTTTGCCCCCAATGCAGCAACCCCAGCGTGCTCAGCAGTATGAAGCAAGCAGAACCAGTTAGCTCCTGAAACAGGCTTCCCCGACTTGGCAGATGAATACCATCCGTGAGCTCGCAGACCTTATTCTTCTTATATCTGAGATTCTATTATCCTTTCATTATTATTTTCAAAGGAATTACCCTTTCTTTTTGAAGAGCACTATGCTAAAGATATTCTGACAGTCTTTCACAGCTATCACTTTAAATAACAATCACAAATAAAGCCTACAAAAAGTTTCCCAATCTTTAGTTAGAAGGTCGTTTATCTAAGTCAAAAGCAATAAGAGAGAATGACTACTTGAAAAAAAAAAAAAAAGTCTGCTTCAGCGACATATGCCAGGAACTTGAGAACTGATAGGACAATAATGTAAAGCATGTGTTTCCGAGTTAAGATTAACATCATGCTCAGGATTTTCTTTAATGGTTTTTATGCCAACCAGACATCTCCTGTTAGTGAACTTTACACTCTGTACTGGGTCACACAGAATGGTTTCTTTTTAAAAGACTCATTAATCAGTTATTAAGCCAAACTTTTTTCTAGGGGTAATCCAGACCACATTTGTGATCTTTCAAAAGTCAAAAGCATTAAAAAAAATTCATACTTCTAAAAACTGAAAATGTTTCTGGGGCCTTGATCTATTCCTTATTATAATTTTGAGTAAGAGTAATTGATGTTTATGTGGTGCTTACTATTGCCAGGCAATAATAAGTGCTTTTTTTTTATAAACTAATTTAATCCTTGTAATGCCCCCATGAGGTAGAAGTGTCCTCTACTGTACACTGGAGGAAGCTGAGGCAAAGAAAAGATAAGAAAGGTGCCCAAGGGGGGCCTCAGTGGCCCAGTTGGTCAAGTGGCTGACTCTTGATTTCTGCACAGATCATGATCTCGGGGTCATAGGATGGAGCCTTACATTGGGCTCCGTGCTCAGTGCAAAGTCTACTTGAGATTCTCTCCCTCTCCCTCTGCTCCTCCTCCTGCTCTGTGCTCTTTCTCATTCTAAAAACAAAACAAAAACAAAAACAAAACAAGACAAAAGAAAGAAAGGTACCCAAAATCACACAGTCAAGTGATGAAGCTGTGTTCAAACCCGGCCAGTCTGGCTCTAGGGTCTTTGTTTTAAGATCTGCTTATTTATTCTAGGAAGAGAGGGAGGGACCGAGCAAACACTTGGGGAGTAGGAGCGGAGGGAGAGGGGAAAAAGAGTCTCAAGCAGATTCCATGCTGAGCGAGGAGCAGGGCTTGATTCCAGGACCCTGAGATCACCACCTGAGCCAAAACCAAGAGTCAGAAGCTTAACTCCACCACCCAGATGCCCCTCGAGGGCCTTTATTCTTTTTTTTTTTTTTTACTTTTTTTTCATAAATTTATTTTTTATTGGTGTTCAATTTGCCAACATATAGAATAACACCCAGTGCTCATCCCATCAAGTGAGGGCCTTTATTCTTAACCCCTATGCAAACTGCCTCCCTCAGGTGCTACATTGAAGAATAAATTCCTAATTTTTGTCTGCATCCCTTCCCTTATCTCAGAAACCGACATTTAAATTCAGCTGGCATTAATTGCACTCCTTTAATCCGGATTTACTGAATTCTAAAGTATCTTACCTATATCCAACAACCAAAAGATAACATTGAGGACTTTCTCCTGCAACCTCTCCCCTTTGTGAGCAGTGCATTCGAACATTTTGTAAGGGTGTCCTTCACAGATAGGGCGTCTCTAAACGGTCCAAAGGAAAAGGATTTCAGTACTTCCAACTGCTAAAAGAGTAAAGCCAGGTTGGAGATCTAATATAGATCTCTGGAGATCTATATTAGGAAGGGAAGCTGGGGTAAAATGAAGGAATTTGATAGAGGTGCAGAAAGATAAGAATAATGGAGGATAAAACAGAAGAATTTTTAGTATTGATAAGGAAGAAAAAGAAGCCACTAGCAAGTGCCCTATAAATAAGAACTCAGGGGATAAAAAATGTGATTTGTCAAAAACTTTCAACTTGAAAGGATTGTACCTTAATCTGCTTCCCTTCCGGAGAAGGTAAAGCAGACTGTCATAAGCCAAGGGGAGTTCTGTGATCTCTCCTCAACCGCAGCGTCTCTTACCCAAAGTGCAGGTATCCTAATGTACTTCTGTATACCTTTCCTTCC